TTAAAATCAGCTACTCTTCCGGAGATTCAGAGGGTTGGGAATGTTGTATCCAGCTTTAAAAATTTGGCCGGAGTAATTCTGAGAATTACAGCCCAGTGAGCCTTACCTCAGTGCCTGGTAAACTGGCTGAAACAAGAACTAAACCAGAATTCTAAATCAGCTGTATGAGAATGGTGGGGAAAAGTCCAACTAGCACAGCTGGAAAAGAAAACTGTGGGTATGTCTACACTTAAACCCCTACAGCAGTGCAACTGCACCACTGCTGCTGTGGGGCTTCAGCATAGACAGTCCCTACGCTGAGGGGAAGGATTCTCCCATCGTCACAGGTAACCCACCTCCCCCAAAGTCAGTAGTTAGGTTGATTCTTCCGTCGGCCTAGCACTGTCTACACCAGGGGTTAGCTTGGTAAATATAAACTACATCTCTCAGGGGTGTGGATCCACACTCCAGAAAAACGTAGCTATACCAATATAAGTTCCTAGAATAGACTAGGTTTGTGTCTCAGTCATCTGTTAAAATGTCACTGAGTATGTCAGTACAGTATGGCACACAGGAGAACCCAATGGCATAATTGATGTGGACTTTCAAAAAGTTTTTGAAAAAGTTCCTCACAAAAAGTTTTTAAGGAAACTAAAGCTGTCCACACTACCACTTATGGCTCCAAAACTTATGTCATTCAGAGGTGTGAATATTCCACCCCCTGAGCAACATAAGTTACAATGGCATAAGTGTTAGTGTGCACAGTGCTATGTCGGTGGGAGAAACTCTCCTGCCCACATAGCTACCTCCGCCCGCTGGAGGTGAATCATTATGCCGATGGGAGAACTCTCTCCCATCGGAACAGTGTGGCTCCACTAGAGATCTTACAGTGGCACGGCTGCATTGGTACAGCTGTAGCGTTAGAAGCTCTGTAGTGCAGACATAGCCTAAGTCATCATGGGGTGAGAGGTAAAGTATTGTCCTGGATCAGAAACCAGCTTAATGACAGAAAACAAAGAGCAAGAATAAATAGTCAATTTTCATATGGAAAAAGGTTAGCAGTGGGGTGCCTCAAAGTCAGGTATTAGGACTGGTGTTTAGTCTATTTCAGCGGTTCTCAAACTGTGGGTCAAAACCCCAAAGTGGATTGCGGCCCTGTTTTAATGGGGTCGCCAGGGCTGCCTTAGAGTTGCTGGGGCCTGGGCCTGAAGCCCGAGTCCCACCACCTGGGGCTGAAGCTGAAGCCCAAGGGCTTCAGCCCTGGGCACTGGGGCTCAGATTACAGGCCCCATGTCTGGGAAGGAAGCCCTTGGGATTCAGCTTTGGCCCTGGCCCCACCCCTACCCAGGGGGCGGGGCTCAGTGGGCTCAGGCTTTGGTCCCCCCTCCTGGGGTCATGTAGTAATTGTTGTTGTCAGAAGGGGGTCGCGGTGCAATGAAGTTTGAGAACCCCTGGTCTATTTATCAGTGACTTGGAACAAAGGATATCCCTGAAGTGGCAAAATTTGCAGATGACACACAATTATTTAGGTTACCAAAGAAGTCTGAGTTATTTCAGAGGGACCAAGCTTGGATAACATGATGGCTGATGAAATTCAGCGTTGATCAATGTAAGGTAACGCACATTACACGGATAATCAGACCTAGGCATGCAGGTTATTGGCTTTAAAATACTCAGGAAAAAGACCTGGGCAGCACTGCGGACACCTCTGTTAAGAGCTCTGCTCAATGTGATCTAAACTCTCAGCGTGAGATTCTGTGCTCAGAACCTGCAGCCCAGGGGCACTTGAGGGCTCAGGCAGCTTTAAGCGCTGCCCCGTATCCTCCTGATCCCGGGTGCTCTGGATGCGAAAGCAGCCCCCGCTGTAACTCAGGGCTTGCTGCAGGACAAAGTTACACCAGTATAAAATAAGTTGGGCATTTAAACCACTCACGTTATACCAGCGTAATGCTCCATATGAATACACTTATTCCATAATAAGAGTGAGTTTTTCTGGCTTAGCTTGTGCCTTTAGTTACAGCAGCCTTTCCCTGGGCACATATGGGCAGCAGCACGGCCCAGAATCTCTCCAGCACCGTGCACTGTGGCCCCTCCCTGCCTCTTGTTCCCAGTCCCATCTTCCCTACACCCCTACAATAGGGCTTGTAAGTGGGTCCTCAGAGGGCAGCCCCCAGCTGTTCTCTGCTGTGCCTGCACTGGAGCGAATCCTCCCCCAGCTGGATCCAGGCCTTTTGAAGCCCAGTTATGCTGTTTTGGTCCTTTTGCTGACCATAAAGGGGTTGAAGGATGGGTGAAAATCTCACGCTCCATTTATTAAAAGGTGTCCGGCCTTTCTGGGTATGAAGATAGCACTGAGCAAGTGACCTGGGTGTAAGCAAGCAAGCTGGGTACACCAGCCCAATGAGATCTGCCTGAGTCTGCAGGAAGCGCTGTTTGCTGCTCACACTTATCAAGTGGGGCTGGGATGCTGACATTAAAGCCTGATCGATGACAATTTGTCACCATTTGCAAGTATCTCACTGCTGATCATTTTAGCAGAAACATCCAGCTTCTGTGCTTCTCCCTCACAACTGGATGCAAGGACTGATACCGAGGAGGGGGGCAGTGGGGCAATGGCAGATACTGGGGCAGAAGGCAGTGGGGCAGCTACCTCTCATCAAAGGTTGCTGGGGTGAGGAACAGTGAATTCAATTCCCTCCATCCAAATACAGAGTGATCACTTTTATGCTAAAACAGGAAGGGAGAGAGGAGATACATTTCCCTTTCCCTCCGCTCCTCCGATATGAAATGCCTCCTGGATACGAGAGCAAACACACACACAGCACATGGTCACTGAGGGTGAAATCCTGCCCCTTCCCTCTTTACATGGCCGTGGAAGGGGGAATCCCAAGTGAGAGATCCTGTTAAATACTGGACAAGTCTTATAGTGTCCAGCAATGAGCCTGGCCCATGTGGGCTGCTAGACAGAGCTGCTCAGACCCCTTCCCCTTCACAGCTCATCTGTGTCAGTGCGACATAGAGAGAGAAAAGGGCGAGAGGTTGGATTTCATTCCATCACGTGTATGGTGAAGTTCCTATTACTGTTGAACGCAGCTCCGCTGTAGTTATGAGACAGAGAGACAAAGAGCCGGACAAATGGGTCACACAGATAGGTCTGTCTGTGAAGGCCTCTGCCCTCTGTGTCCCTGCTGCCTGGGACTGAACTGCAGTGATGGGTGGTTCAACCTGTCCCCACAGGCTGTGGCCTCTATGGGTCATAGCAGCTGTCCCTGCTGCTTAAGTCCTAGACCCACTCACATCAGATATGGCTGTTGTGGGAAGGAAGGTCTTTGTTTATCGAGTTCCCTGTCTGGTGCCCTCTGTGCCCATCCCTTGAATGGCCCCAGCTCCCCCCAGCTCCTGACTGTGGAAATGGAGGAGGGAAGAGAGCGATGGGAATGGGACTTTGACCTGGGCTGGATAAGGAACAGGGTCTTGCTGGCTCCATCCTAGGCCAGATCCTGATCTTGTGGGTGGCGTCTGCCCCTTGGTCCTAGGGATAATAGGGAAGAGCTCCCCCTAGGGGCTTGGTAAATAGTGGGTGTCCCAGCAAAGAATGGGGTGGAGGTGCCCTTCCAAAGCTGGATGCTCAGGTCACTATCACTGCTGAGCACAGCCTGAGCGAGAGCATCTTGTGCCCAGTGTGAGCAGCGTGTTAGACCAGCCGTGCAAATCCTGAGTGTGTTTGTGTTATTACAGCATCCTAGCCACAGCTCACCAGTGCAGCTGGTGCGGAGAGTTCTCTGAAAGGCCCAGGGAACAAGACAGTGACAGTTAATTGTTCTGATTGTTTAGTGTTTGGAAATGCGCCCAACATAGCTCTCTCTGGGCACATACATGACTTTTACATACAACTCAAAATGATTAATCCCTGTCACCTAAACATGGACTCAACCCACATAACATATCTGTTAAAGCAGGGGTGGGGTGGGGAACCTTTTTTCTATCAGGGGCTGCTGACCCACAGAAAAAAATAGTTGGGGGCCACACACAGCCTTACAGTGAGGGGGCGGGGCGTGGAGGCTCGGGGCTTCCCCTAGCCTCTGGAGAGGTGCCAGAAATGAGGGTTCAGAGTGTGGGATGGGGCTCCGGGTTGGGGCAGGGGGTTGAGGTGTGGGAGGAGGTGAGGACTCTGTCTGGAAGTGTGGGCTTGGGATGAGGGGTTTTGGGTGCAGGAGAGGGCTCCAGGCTGGGGCAAAGGGGTTTGGAGTGCAGGAGGTGGCTGAGGACTGGGCAGGGAGTTGGGGTGTGGGCTCCAGCTGGGGGTATGGGCCCTGGGGTGGGGCTGCGGATGGGACAGGGGGTTGGGGTGCAGGAGGAGGTTCGGAGTGCAGGTTCCAGGATGGAGTTTGGGTGTAGGAGGGGGCTCTTTATTCATTTATTTATAAATGGACACAAATCTGACATCAGGAATTATAACATTCAAAAACCAGTAGGAGAACACTTCAATCTCTCTGGTCACTCAATAACAGACCTAAAAGTGGCAATTCATCAACAAAAAAACTTCAAAAACAGACTCCAATGTGAAACTGCAGAACTGGAATTAATTTGCAAACTGGACACCATCAAATTAGGCCTGAATAAAGACTGGGAGTGGTTGGGTCATTACAAAACCTAATTTCCCCCATACTAATTTCCCCCTACTGGTACTCACACCTTCTTGTCAACTGTTTGAAATGGGCCACTCTCATTACCACTACAAAAGTGATTTTTCCTCCCTTGGTCTCCTGCTGTTAATTGAATTGTCTCGTTAGACTGACCCCCCACTTGGTGAGGCAACTCCCATCTTTTCTTGTGCTGTGTATTTATACCTGCTACTGTATTTTCACTCCATGTATCTGATGAAGTGGGTTATAGCCCATGAAAGCTTATGCCCAAATAAATTTGTTAGTCTCTAAGGTGCCACAAGGACTCCTCATTGTTGTTTCTTTTAATCTCTCTCTCTCTCTCTCTCACCAAGTTCCCGCCTCTTGTTACTTCACCTTTTGCTCTGTGCTGCCTCCAGAAGCAGTAACTGGCCAGGGGAATGAGAACAGCCAGGAGAACCAGGATCACACCCAGAGCCACCATCCAGGGATTGACTCGCGGGAAAAACAGCTCTGCAAGAGAAAGTGCCATTGACTTGGGAGCAAACACACGCAGAATGAAGACAGGAATTGACAGAGGTGACACTGCGACTAGTTAAAAGAACCTCACAGGGAAATACACAGGGACATGTGGCTGCTTTGTGCTTTATTATTAAACCAGTGAGAGCCCAAGCTTTAGCCTGGTTACTGAACATGGTTAATTAATGGGAGGGGGCATGTTGGGGGTAGGGTGCAGCTCCATTATGCCACTCCTATCCCCCACTGACATACGTTCAGGCGCTAAGTGATCCCAAAGCTGCAGCCAGTGCAGAGTATCCCTTAGAATCAGAGAGTTGTGACCAGCTTCCTGACACCCCCGACTCTCCTCAGCCATATGAAAGAATCTGGCCCAAAATATGTTAATACGGGATTTTAATAAAAACAAAACTGAGCCTGGAGATTCAGAGTAATAATTCCCCCAGAGTCCTCTTCCCTGGGCCTTGGAGCAATGGCTGACTACAGGGTCCTTGCTAAGTGATTAGTGCAGTGTATTGAAAACTGTGTAAAAATTACAAGCTGACACTTGAAATCCTGAGGGGATTCCTGGTCCTACTTGCAGGCTAAGGGGCTCTGTAGGGATTGTACATCTGGGTCCTCTGCAGTCAGTCTGCAAAAAGCCAGCCTAAAGCAGGGTAGGTTTGGTTCTGCCTCTCTGCCTTAGGGAGCAGCCTGCTTTATCTCTCTCTGTATTTGGCTGTGGCATGTTAGAGTTCTGGATTCTTAGCAATAAAGCAGTGTGACATTGCAGCCTTTCAGGAACAGTATTTATGTTTTGTTTCTAACTCTCCGTGTGTGCTGTGAACATAACAATCAGGTAATACTGGGCATATCATAGACTAACCAGCAATGCAGCACTATGAGACCTCAGACAAATAGTGCTTTACAAATTCATCACTATAATAGTGAGAATGTTGTAATATTCATTTGATACACAAGAACCCCAGAATAGAGAGGGAGGCATCTCCCTAAGGCAGCAGGCACAACTCACCCACCTTGCTCTACGGTGGCTCGTCTATAGGCACAGTTAGTGTGTGGCAGGCTGGGGTGTAAATCCACTGTGCACTGGCCTGCTGCGCACTAACTGGCTGTGTGCACCCTGCTGCACTGCACTAAAAGTTCCCTGGTTCACTTTGATCTGTTCCCGTTTTAAAACTGGGGTAGATCAAAGCACAGCATGGAATTTTTAGTGCATGTAGCAGGGTCCAGCCCAAGCTTGGACATCTATACCACAATTTAACAGGCCCTTAGCCTGAGGCCCTTAGCCTGAGCCAGCTGGCCTGGGTCACCAGCGGGTTTTGAATCGCAGTGTAGACATATCCAAAGAGAATTGAGGTTGTTCAGGATTTTACAAGACGTGCTCAGCACATTGAAGGTTCAGGCCAATAAACAGGAGACACAATGATAAATACTCTCTGCCCATGTCTGCAACGTCTCAGTTTATCCATGTGCGGCACGGATGGGCACTGACCTGCTATGGAAATCTCTGACTCTCTCTCCTGGTTGAGAAGGAGGTTCCTGACACAGCAGGACACTTTCTGGTTGGACTCTTCTGGTATAACAATGGCAATCTCTGTTTGAAACAGGTCATTGGCCTCTTGAGATATTTTTTCAGAGGCTGATGGTAAGAGCTGCCCCTGGAGATCTCTCCACTGAGCCTCGGGCTGTGGGTACCATCCGGCTGATCGACACACAACCCGGATCCCTCCATCCTGATGTCCCTCCACAGAGATGGCAGGAGCAGAGCCCAAACCTACAGAAGAAATAAATGAACTTGTGATAATCCTACAGTGCCTAGTAATGAGCCAAAAGTTTTATTACACAGTTATCAAAAGCCATTTCCTATTTGTCACGGAGTATGGGGGGACTCAAGGCCCTGCACCCCTGGTGTCCTGCGATTCACCATGACTCTCAGCCAGCCAGAAAGCAGAAGGTTTATTTAGACGACAGGAATACAGTCCAAGACAGGTCTTGCAGGCACAGACAACAGGACCCCCCCTCAGTTAGGTCCATCTTGGGGTCCCAGGGCACCCTAGCCCCCTTGGGAGGTCAGAGCCCTGTCTCCCTCCCAGCCACATCACCAGCCAGCTCCTGAAACTCTGCCTTCAGCGACCCCTCCCACAGCCTTTGTTCAGTTTCCCGGGCAAAGGTGTCACCTGGCCTCTAACCCCTTCCTGGGTTCTCATGTTACATGCTCAGGTATTCTCCGTCGGTCAGTCCCCCATCCCCCAATGCACACTATTAAACTGAGAATTGAATGTGAGTCCATGGATGTGGTTGATTAGTTAAACTGGCCAGATTCCAATTTGATAGAATTAATTTTAATGTCAGGGCTGTTCTATGCACAAACTTGCTCCAGTTTCGTTAAAGTTTTTTTTTTTAAACCAGTGCAAACCCCTGTGTGGACACTCTTAAATCAAGAAGGAATCGACTCAAGCTTAATTAATATAAGCCATTTCCAAACCATTTAAGAGTGTCCATATAGGTTTTGCACTACTTCATTGTAACCAGTGCATGTGTATGTATAGACCAGAGGTGGGCAAACTATGGCCTGCGGGCCACATCCGGCCCGCAGGACCGCTCTGCCCGGCCCCTGAGCTCCTGGCCCGGGAGGCTAGCCCCCGACCCCTCCCCCACTGTTCCCCCTCCCCCGCAGCCTCAGCTCACTGCACTGCCGGCGCAATGCTCTGGGCAGCTGGGCTGTGAGCTCCTGGGGCAGCGCCGCTGCAGAGCCCGGCCTGACCCGGTGCTCTGTCCTGCCTGGTGAGTGGCTGGCTTCAGCTGGGCGGCACGGCTGCCTATCATGGTGCAGCTGCGCTGCCAGCCACCGGTGCTCCAGGCAGCGCGGTAAGGGGGCAGGGAGCGAGGGAGGGGGGTTGGAGAGAGGGCAGGGGAGTTCGGGGGTGGTGGTCAGGGGCCGGGGCAGTCAGAGGACAGGGAACAGGGGGGTTGGATGGGGCAGGGATCCCGGGGGGGGGGGGCGGGTGGGGGGGGGGGGGGGGGGGAGGGGGGGGCAGGGGTCAGTTAGGGGTGGGAGGTCTGGGGGTCGTCAGGGGACAGAGAGCGGGGAGGTGGATAGAGCAGAGGTTCCAGGGGGGCCGTCAGGGAATGGGGGGGGTTGAATGGGGCCGTCAGGGGGCGAGAAGCGGGGGGGGGGGGTCAGATAGGGGTTGGAGGCCGGGCCATGCCTGGCTGTTTGGGGAGGCACAGCCTCCCCTAACCGGCCCCCCATACAATTTCTGAAACCCGATGCAGCCCTCAAGCCAAAAAGTTTGCCCACCCCTGGTATAGACAAACGTTAAATTAATTCACTACCAAAAAACTTTGTTACTGGGGAGTTCAGGTTGCCTCGGCTGTGCCTTGTTTGTACCCTTCCAGAGCACAGAAGTTGGCAGCAGAAAACTGGACTCCTCTGAGAGCCAGGAAACACACCCACACTCACACCCACAAAATACAGACATTAGATAACAAAAAAATGCAGGGTTAAGGTAATGCCTTCTGCACCAGATCACACTTTTACTGATGAGCTAAACTGAAATAAAATGAACTTAATCTGAATGATCTTAATCCGGCCGGTGAGAGCAGTGACCCAGTGGGGGTGGCAGATGGGAGCAGCGGGCAGGCGGCTGGCAGCAGCAGTGAGCAGGCGGCCAGTGGGAGTGGTGAGCAGGCGGCCAGCAGGTGCATTTACCCCCCTCCCCCCGCTCATGGCAGGAGCAGAATGCACACAGATGTACCTATGAACTCTGGGTCTGTGCTGACCAAGCACAACAACTGTGAGCGGTGTGTTAAACGGGGGGCACACTGCAAGAACTTGGTTGTTGGACTCAAGAACCTGAAGCAAAGGACACTGCCCAGCACACTCTGGGGAGGCTGTCTTGCTCATGCTTTTGTGTTTATGAATATTGCTTGTGCTGTTTT